TGGGTGGCTGGCTCCATAATGCACCATGGTCCTAGGCTCTCAGACTGGCTGGAAACCTGTTCATTGATGAGGCTAATAGAAGTGAAACAATGTACAGGGCAGGGAGTCAAATAAATCAATAAACAGACACTGCACAGCTCTATGGCATTGACCAACAGGGATTTGGGGAACAGCCTTGTTCCCTTTTATAGCTGCCGGGGTTTGTGTTTTCACCTCTCCTGCTTTCTATCCCCACACGGGAACTTAGAGGTGAACATGGGACTATTTGGATTTCTCTTTGGCAGATAATAATTCTTTTTAACCCATATCAATGTGTTTAATAGAATAATTGGGATCGAGTGAATCCCCCCCACACCCAGTGCAGGACACCCCGTTCCCGGTATCTCCTCCTCCTGTAGATCTAGATCTGACTGAACAGCCGGGTTCATTTTCCCCATTTCAAAGGGAGGAAATTACTGTCTCCTGTGAGCTCCCAGCGCTCGGCCTGTCAGCATCAAACCAGCTGGGACTTTCTCTTGTAACTGCCACGGGAGGTTTTTGTCAGACCGGCTTCCCCTCAGTGTGCAGGGTGTGTCTCTCGTGCAGTGATACCGGGCGGTGTCCTCGGCTCTCAGGCCGGTCAGTTGCAGATACAGCAGGGTGTTGGGACTGTCCCTGGAGATGGTGAATCGCGCTGTGACTGCATCGCCGCAGTATGTGCTGCTCCCACTGCCGCTGCTGATACGGGCGACCCACTCCAGCCCCTTCCCGGGGGCCTGACGGACCCAGTGCATCCAGCAGTGTTATGTTTGTTTGTCTGGAATAGAAAAAAACGTGGGGATGGGGGGAGAGAATAAATCTTTCTGGCACAGAGGAGTTCCGGGAGGCGGGGAGGGGGTGTGAATTAAACCGATTATGAAACTGCACCGGTCTGCAACTATTTATAGCCTGGGAGACTTTCTCTGGGCTGCTCTCATCACCTGTCCCTGGCAGTCGGGGGCTGGTAGCGCCCTCAGCAGCAGAGACGTTGCACTGTTACTGCAGGGGAAGGTTTTTGTCTGAGCTCAGATTCACTTCCCCTCACTGTGTCTCTGGCACAGTAATACACAGCGGTGTCCTCCGCTCTCAGGCTGTCATTTGCAGGTAGAAGTTGGTGCTGTCCTTGGAGGCTGTGAATCGGCCCTGGATGGAGGAGGCGTAATTGTTGATGGAGGGATCATAGTAGCTGACCAGCCACTCCAGCCCCTTCCCCGGCTCCTGTCTGATCCAGCTCATGGCGGTGCTGCTCAGAGTGAACCCGCTGGTGGCACATTGCAGTGTATGGGACTCTCCGGGCTTCTTCAGCGCTGGCCCCGACTGGGTCAGAACCACCTGCGAGCGGGCCCCTGGGGGAGAAGGGAAAAGAACAAATGGTAAACAAAGCCCCACAGTAACAACGGATTGAAGGAGCGAATTAAAATCAACAAGAGACCAATGAACCACATTTCCAATAAACTGGGTGAGACCACAGATTAAAGTTCTGTTATAAATCACAGCCATTGCCCCATCCACCATAAATCAACCCCTTGTCCCTTCACTAGATCTTTGGCGGGGGGGCGGGGGCGGGGGGGTAATACCTTCCAAAGCCGCAGCAATGCAAACTAAAAGGAACCAAAGTCTCATTTTCCTGGTGCTGGAGGGGAAAGTTCTCAGGGGACTGGCTGGTCACTGCACAGACCCAGGGGCTGCGGATTGTGTCTCCGGGTGCAGCCTGGGCAGAGAGAGGCACAGATTTAAACAGGAAACTCTCACCCATATTTGCATACCTCTTTCCTTATAAGGGACCCAAACTCCTTCCCTGCAGGCTGTGAATTGCTTGCTCCAAGGCTCAGAGAGGAGTCAGATTGTCCCTTCCTGAGGGTCTGTGCAGCGCCCAGCCCCACTGCGGTGGGGTGTAAAAGGGAAAGAAGCAGCTGCGGGTTGGAACCCAATTCCCCGGTTATGAATTTAGGGCCTGATTGTCATCAAATTGTGCGATCGTGGGGAAGAGGTCTCCGGAGCCCCTGCCCAGGGGAATGTTCAGACAGAGGGGTCAGTGACTGGGGAGGGGTCAGGTCACAGGGTTGCACTGGGCTGGGACACCCGCTGGAGAGTTAAGTTTCCCTGGGATGGCGAGTGCAGTGTGTCTGGGAGTCTTTCTGTAGGCGAAGATGCAGGCAGCTCTGAAGGGAGATTATTATTAAAAATCGAAATTCATACAGATGATTCCATTCCCATTCCTGTTCCCATTCCCACTCATACCGCGCTTCTCATGTATACCTAGATCGTAAACTCACTGGGGAAGAAAGAGTCCTTCTGCTCTCACTTTGTAGAGTGCCTAGCACTCTGGGGTCTGGTCTGTGATTGGAGGCCTTAGGCGATAGGACCACAACCATCTACAACTCCACTGCACGTCCAGAATGGGTCTCATAAATCTTCATGTTTCTTATGAAATGTTTGTGTGAGGCTGAATGGGGGACACAGAGCCGGGGATGGGAGCAATGTAGGGGAAATGCTATAAAAACGGAGCAGTCGGCCCCTGGAAAGAAGGCAGCACAAGGGCTGGGAAATATTAAAATCCCACTTCACGCTGATGTAGGGCTCACTCAGTGCATAGGCCCTTGTTCTGGGACCTCTTCACAAGGGTTCATTTCACCCACAGGGAATTACGAGTGGGTTGAGGGGGGGTAGATTTAGCCGGCTCAGCACGTTGCAGACGTAGAGCCAGAGTGACATACTGGCTGTTTGCTCTGGTCATTGTGCTCTTTGGTGAGTGAGACCAATTTTCTCAGCCACCGAACAGAACATCTGGCATCTACTCCTGGCTCTAATATGATAGTCGGGCAATGCAGTCTGCAGTAGGTACCGGTATAAAGACTCCTTTTGTCTCTTCCCAGCCAAGGGAGGGAAGAATAGTCTAGTTGCTACACAGTGAATATTCCTGGCGTCTTTCCTCTAATTCCTTGGCAGAATGATAGACGATTCGTAGAGCAGGGCCCTGGGAGTCAGGACTTCTGGGTTCCCTTCTGAGTCTTTGAAGCTCTAATGACCTGTTTGACTCTGGATGAGGCAGCGCTAAATTCACAAGTGCTTGTAACTTGCCATGGAATCTGTGCGAAGCGAATAACCAGGCCGGAAGGACGCTGTGTTGGCTGCTGCGTCTGTCTGTGACTCACTCCAGAGTCCAGAAGGCTGGTTCCCCGCAAGGTTAATGTTAGTGTGGGCTCTGACAGGTTTCCCCTCACTGTGTGTCTGGCACAGTAATACACGGAGGTGTCTGCGGGTCGCAGGCCGGTCAGTTGCAGGAACACTCGGTTTTTGGAGGTGTCTCTGGTGATGGGGAGGCGACTTTTTAGACCATCGTTACAGTTATTGCCTCCACCAGCCCAGATACCTCCCATCCATTGCAGCCCCTTCAACGCTGGCTGGCGGGCCCAGTGCACCGCGTAGCTAGTGAGAGAGAATCCGGACACGGTGCAGGTCAGTCTGAGGGTCTCCCCGGGGTTCTTGATTCCCCCACCAGACTCCACCAGACTAATCTGGGAATAGACACCTGCAGAGGGGGAGATAAAGTGGAAATATTGCAGTGATTCCCAGAGGTGCAATTATTAGGGGACATGCGGTACCGGGCGCCCAGTGGCAGTGCAGATCCTGCCCGTACCCGCGGGAGAAAGTCTGTCTGTCTGTCTGTTTCTGCCCCATCCCTAATTTTGATGTTGGTGTCAATGGTATAACCTAGGAGCCAGGTCCATTACTGAACCATTCCTTGTTCATGGGAATCTGGAAAATTAGGACGGAGACAAACTGTGCAAAGATGATTCGGGGAAATTTCTGTTTTGGGCTGTATTGTTGGAAAGGGTTTGGAGTCAAAATCCTCAGTCTGAGGAGAAGGGTCAGTGCTGCAGGGGCAGGAGAAAAGTCACCCCTGGCGCTCAGTAGCCGGATAGACCCTTGTGATGCCCCTTTACAAAGGGGTGAATTTCACACAGAGGTTTATCAATGGGCTGCCGGGGAAGGTCACTTCTAGTTTATTGGCCAGACCCTTCCGGCCCATAATCCGCACTCCGGGCTCAGCGTTCCCACTGCTCTTTGCTGCGGGCTCAGCTTCTCCAGTGACTTCAGTGGGAGAAGAAGGGAGCCTGAAACTGGATCGTATTTGATCAGAAAGCCCTGGGGAGTCACTGGGGGCATCCACAGAGTGAGGGCGGACGCACCTGCTCCTCCCTGAAATCCACCCTGGGCATCTGCTCCCTGCGCTCCCCGGGGGAGATGGAGTCAGTGGAGTCACTGTGTGGTGCGGATAAGGGGAGATACTTTGCTCTGTTCTCATTGCTGCAGAGTGAGAGCGCCTCCCCCAGGAAATCCCTTCCCCAGTCTGTGCAAGGGGAGGTTTTTGTCTGAGCTCAGGTGGTTTCTCCCTCACTGTGTCTCTGGCGCAGTAATACACGGCGGTGTCCTCTGTTCTCAGGCTGGTCATTTGCAGGTAGAAATTGGAGCTGTCCTTGGAGGCTGTGAATCGCCCCTTGATGCTGTCAGAGTAGTAATTTGTAGATGAAGGTGTGTGATAGCTGACCAGCCACTCCAGCTCCTTTCCCGGCTCCTGTCTGAACCACGCCATGTAATAGCCGGAGACAGTGAACC